TCTGAGGCTGTGGGCCCTGAGAAAGCGAAGGTGGAGGGACAGTGCCACTTCCGTGGTTCTCTGTGACTGCAGAAGCCATTGAGGCCCTCCCGCTTGCCAACACGCCGGAAGTGTTTGGTCTCCACTCCAACGCCGAGATTGGCTATTACACGCAGGCAGCTCGGGACATGTGGGCTCACCTGCTGGAGCTGCAGCCTCAGACAGGTAAACTCTACTCCGGACGACTTCGTTAGTTTGATTGGGGTTTTACGATTGCTTCTCGTAGCTCTCCCACATTGCTGATGCCCTTCCCTGAACCGGCAGGCTCAGGAGGCCCTGGTTCTGTACACAGATACCTTGCTGTCTCTGAAAAGTGTCCTGGTTTTAGGGGAATCCAGCAGTGGCATCAGCCGCGATGATTATATTGACCAAGTGGCCAAAGACATAGAAAACAAGGTGCCCAAAGTCTTTGACTTGGACCAGGTGAGGAAGCGCCTCGGAACGGGAATCTCCCCGACGTCGGTGGTGCTCCTGCAGGAGCTGGAGCGCTTCAACAGGCTTGTGGGCCGGATGAGCAAGTCTCTGGCTGAGCTTCAGAGGGTGAGCCTGCCTCTCACGTGCAGATTACCACCTAGACAGGTAGCACCTGGGGCTCTCACCGAGTCTTGCCCGATTGCTCTCGATTCTTAACAGGCCTTGGCTGGAGAAGTTGGAATGAGCAGTGAGTTAGACGATGTGGCCAGGTCTCTTTTTCTCGGGAATATCCCTAATATCTGGAGAAAGCTTGCTCCTGACACGTTGAAGTCCCTTGGAAACTGGATGATCTACTTCCTGCGGCGGTTCAGCCAGTACATGTTGTGGGTAGGTGGCACATCACTACCTCCTCTGTCAACCTAGACTTCCTCAAACCACCTCCCAACCCCCTTTCCATTCCCCAGCAGTAACCTCTGTTAGTTTACTGGGTGCTCTGGGAATGGTCTGAGATTCTTACAAGCATATCTGTATCTTTTGTTTTTCCTTTATTTTCAGGACTTCGAAGCATATTTTACATCCCTAACTATGTTATCTCAGCGTTTATCTTGGCGCTTGTTCCATGTTAGAACACAGAAAGCGAGCTTGCTCCTTTTTAGAGTATGCCGTTGCACAGATGTTCCATATCCTTTCTCCTCCTTCCGTATCCTAAAAATATGGTACCCGCCTACATTTAGGGGGTTACCGTATTTTTTTTTCTGCTAATACAAATAACTTTCTGGTGAACATGTCTATGAATATGCATAGGGGTGTATTCCATGGGTAAATTCTGGCAGTGGAAAGTTGGATCAAGGAGCGTGTGCATGTAAACTCCGCTAGCGCTTGTTGGATTGTTAGAAAAGACAGTGTGTGAGTGTTTATTTCCTCACTGCTCTGCAGCACTGCGTACCTAACAGGTGGAAATCATAGCTCACTGTTTCGCTTTGATGTCTAATTATGCTGGGTCAGAGCGTCTTTCACATCCTCACAGACATTTTGTGTTTCTTTTTCTGTGAACTGTCTTTTTGTATCTGGATTTAATTTGTAGTGAGGTCTCCTTTTCATTGATGTTTAAGAGCTCTTTGCATATCAAAGAAATTCGCCTTTGGTCTGCCAGTGCTGCGGACGTTTTCCCCAGCCTGTCTAAGCCTTGGCTTTGCTTACAGTATTTTTTCCTTAGAAAAGTTTTACATTTTTATGTCGTCAAACCTGCAAGGCTTTTCTTTCTTCTTCTGGGCTTTGCATTCCTCCCCCACGGTGTGAAAGCGTTCGTTGGAGAGGTGGTCCAGTTCTTTGATGGTTTTACTTTTATATCTAAATCTTTGATCTACCTGGAATGTGGCAGTCCAGACTGTTTTTCTCAAACAGGCTGCCAGTTGTGCCAGCGCCATCTTTGGCTACTCAGGTAAAACACGTCTTTTATCATAAACTAAGCTCCCAGGCCAGCTTTGCCCTGGCCTTGGATGGTAGCCCCAGGTTCCCAGCACTTGCTCTCTTCTCCCCAGGTTACTGAGAGTGAGCCCAGCGTGATGTGGCTCTCGGGGCTGCACATCCCCGAATCCTACCTCACGGCACTGGTACAGGCCACCTGCCGGAAGAACGGCTGGCCACTGGACCGCTCCACCTTGTTCACACAAGTGACCAAGTTCCAGGATGCAGATGAAGTGAATGAGCGGGCGGGACAAGGTACGGTCAGCTCGTTAGGGATCCACAGCCTCTCACTTAGGATTTCTCTCCTTGAGCCACCTCCAAGTCAAAGGGACAGGCATAGTATGGGCCACAATGGGCCAGGCCATGTTTGAAAGCCAGCCTGCTGCAAAGATTTCCTGTGTCTGTGGACTGCCCGAATCTTAACACCTCTGAGGGCGAATACGGAAGTTTCTCTTCCACTTTCTCTGTTGAGACCTGGGGTCAATGGCAGGGGAGACCTGAACCACGTTCACTCTGCTAGTTCATGGGAAGTGGGCTCCTAGGTCAGAATTAGCTCTTGCAAAAAGCATCAGGTGGCTTTCCTGTAACCCTTGACAGGGGCAGGGGCACGGAGCCACCAAGCAGTGTGGACTAACTTGGCTGGAACTCCTAAATTATGCCATAACTTCACTCTTAGACACTGGTTACTGACTGTGCACATGAGAGCTGGAAGCTGCTGTTTCCTGGGGTCATGTTGTCTTAGAGTTCACTTAACTGCAAGGAACAAAATCTCTTTTGAGATGGCCAGTGATAAAGATGTAGGGACTCTCCCAGGTCCCAATGGCAGGGGAGCTGGCGGGTGTCCGGGCTGCTGCCCTCTCTGGGGCCACATGAGCGTACTCCTCTCTCTGCACATCTTCTGGGTCCTCCTCTTGGAGACCACTTTGTGAGGCTTTGACTTCCTGCTCGGAAGCCACTTCAGCTCACAGTGTAGCTGGGGTTGCCATTGTGCCCATTCTGACTCTGGTAGCAGCCTCAGGGCCCAGGGTGGTCTAAGTGCGTGTGCTCTGATGCCTCATTCCTGGGGGAGAGGCCACCACCCCACACCCACTTCTCTGGGCCATGGAGGAGGGCTATGGGGTCTCCTGCCTGGGCTGCTCCTCCACAGAGGGGCGGTGGGCAGGACAGAAGCGCTGGAGGAGGGCCTGGGCTGTGTCCCGGTGTGCTGGGGAGGAGACCAGCCAGTGGCCTGTGTGTTGCTGTGTGTGCACCTGATAGAGCCACTCCTGGTGGGCCGTGGATGCTCCGTTTGTATCCAGGCTCTCCCCTGTGTCTCTAGGATGCTTTGTCTCAGGACTGTACCTGGAGGGTGCTGACTGGGATATAGAGAAAGGCTGTCTTATCAAGAGCAAACCCAAGGTGCTGGTTGTGGACCTGCCGATCCTGAAGATCATCCCCATTGAAGCACACCGCCTCAAGCTGCAGGTGAAGCCCCAGCCCCTCCTCTCTGATACCAGGGAGCTTCCTCTTCTGACTGTAGTTATGGCTGAGGTGGTTCCAATAGTCCTGCTTTTCCGAACAAGGGTGCCTGAGCTTTATGGGCTGGGGGAGTCTTGAAGCCATGATAAAAGCTGCAGAGCTGCTTCCCGGGAAAGGCACGCGGTTGCACACGTGCGTGGATGCTGATCTTTCCACAGGTGGCAGGCTCAAGTTGTAATCCTGTGGTCTAGACTAACCAAGGGGAGACTCCCTGCCCTCTTGTGAAATGCTGCAGACGTTGCCTGAGTCATAAAGTGGTTTCCTCTGGTGTGGACAGCAGATGCCTTCTGCTCTGCCTGGGCCAGGACCCACTTTTAACCAGTGTCTCTGTGTGAAGCCAGGTTCCCGTGAAGCTGGTGGAGGGTGGCCCTGCGAAGCCCTGGCCCCGTGTGTGTTCTCAGATACAGTCTCTGGCCCTGGCTCCTCTGGCCTGTCAAGCACTTTTAAGACTGCACCTTCACCCCCTCCACCCTCTCTCTAAGGGGGTGTCTCACCTGCCTTTCTCTTGCAGAATACCTTCCGGACCCCTGTCTACACCACCTCCACGAGAAGGAACGCCATGGGTGTTGGATTGGTCTTTGAAGCTGACCTCTTTACCACAAGGCACATTTCTCACTGGGTGCTGCAAGGAGTATGCCTCACCCTGAATTCTGATTAACGTTTGGGCGAAGAAAACTGTGTCATGAATTCTGAATCTGGGGCTGATCAGGAAGAGTGACTGGGTCTGCTGTCATTTCTTGGGGCCTCTCAAGAGGCAGGAGAGGGATTGAACTGATTTTTCATTGGAAATCGGCCATTTATACCTCTTTCCATACAAATTAACCTGAACGGTTTTGTTTTTAATGCTATTTTTAAAGGACTCTATATAATCAACAGGTAAATATTGGAGAGTATTTTAAGATGTGTGGAGTTTTCTTTTCCTTCTCAGAGAACACTTGATTAGGCAAAAGTGCCTGACATGCATCGCGTTGGCACAAGTGAGAATCCTAATGTAATTCCCAGAGGTGTGTTTTTTGCCATCCTGGTCTGTTTCAGCAGATGAACCTTTTTGGCAAGAAGGGCTGATGATGTCGGGAGCGAGCAGAAGTGGCCAGTCACCTGCAGCCACTTCTCCCCCTTCTAGAACTCTCTGGCCCTGGCTCCTTTGGCTCTGAGCTGCCAGGGTGACTGTGAGGCTGTTGAGCTTAGTGTTTAGTTCCTGCACCAGATTCTACCCGCAGCCTGCCTGGGTCTGTGTGGGGTCGGGTGAGGACATGGAACCTCCAGGACCAGTGGTCACTGGGCACTTCTTCCCTCTGTGTACCACGAGGCTGGCCACCTGGAGGTGAGGGGTGGCTTTACTCCACGAGGGAGGGCAGGGGCTAGCTCGGGCAGCGCAGTGGCAGAGGCCATCACAGGCAAAAGGAGCTTCCCACAGAGCCTCAGGAGCACAGAACATTCTCAGGACTAGCTGTGGGCAGGGAGGAGGCAGGAGTCACCTTTGGGACCTGCTGTTGCTCCCCCTCTGGCAGTGTTCTCCTAGCCCTCAGGTGGTTTAATAAAAGACACAAAACAGAAGGAAGGCAGGTTTAGAAAATAAAGTTTGTTGGGATCTTAAACATTTTGGATAAAACTAACAAAATATGAACACACGTTCAGGCTGTGGTGCTGTGAGGAGCAGCGTCAGAAACTAACAAAAAATATGAACGCACGTTCAGGCGGTGGTGCTGTGAGGAGCAGCGTCAGAAACTAACAAATAATATGAACGCACGTTCAGGCGGTGGTGCTGTGAGGAGCAGCATCAGCTTATTCAGGCCCTTGAGACGCACACAGGTGCTCAGTGATCGGTGCTGCTCTCAGAAAGGTTGGTCAGGAGGTGACAGGGGTCTCTAGGAGGGAGCAGGGGCTGCTCGGCCAGGCTGCCCTGGAGCCCGGGGATAAGGTCAAGGTTGGCCTGTGTTGTTCTGACTTGAGAATGAAGGAGGCATGTGACTATCTGGCATTGTGAACATCAGGAGTGAGGCGGCTGTGGCCTGGTCTTTGACCGCAGCACACTTAGGTTATACGGAGCGAGATGAGCAAGCAATTCCGCACACAGGCGTTGCCACGGCAGTTAGGAAATACATATTCTGCAGCAGGGCACGATCATATTTTGGTGTCAAGAAGAGGGCACGAGGAGCAGCAGGAGAATTGGTTGGCAGGTGTGGAAAGAGTTTGGCATGCATGGGAATGAGACAGAAAGGTGTCGCTGAGACTTCCTGGAAGTGCTCACAGTGCATAGACAGCGCCGGGTGGGCCTGGCAGGCTTCACACAGTTCTGTCCGTCCCTGAGTGCTTCCTCACCACCTTGCCTCCATTCACCTGGTCGACCACCAGCGTCTCCACCTCAGGCTGGGCCTGTGGCTGGGCAGCGTGGTGGATCCGATGCGCCACCCCGACGTGGGCCTTATGTGGCTTCTCGCGGGCCGGGCTGTGCTGCTCGCTGCTTCGGTCGGAGGCGATGGGGGGGATGACGAGGGGCCTCTCTTTGATGAGGTGGACCTCGGCCGACTCCCTGGCCAGCAGAAATGGGGTGGGGTCAGGCATAGCATCCACTGGTTCCCGCAAAAGGAGTTTCCTGCTCTCTGCCCCGAATCTGTAGACCTCTTCAAATTCCGGGTGCAAGGGGGCCGAGAGGCTCTTTTTCATGCGGCGGCGAGGTGTTTCAGGCAGCTTGTCTTTGGGGGGTGCTGGCTTGTAGCTGGCCAGCACGGGGCTCCCCGACGGGCTGGCATCTGAGGTCCCACTGGAGCTCATGAGCTTCTTCTTGGCGGCGTGCAGCTGGGAGGTCAGGTAGGTGATGGTGCCGGCCCGCTGCTCCAGCTCACTGGACAGCAGGGTCAGCTTGTGGCTCTTGGCCTTCAGCTCCTCCAGGTACTTCTTCTCCCGCTCCTTGATGGTGTTCTCCAGCACCGTGATCATCGCGTTTTTCTGCTCCAGTTCTTTCAACAACTCAGCATTTTCCTTCTCTTTCACTTTCAGCTGGACTTCCAGTTCTTCACATCTTTTCTTTAATTCGCTGCTTCTAGAAGTCCCATCTCCTACAAGAATAAGCCAAGGAAGCAGGTGAAGAACTCATCAGACTGAGGCTGAGTGTTGAGGCCTCTATGGCGCAGGTGGACCTTTCTGGTAGAGGGCCCTGTTTAGGCTGTGGGGGCTCTGGAAAGGCCCCTCCCATCCCCAAGGCAGAGAGAGCAGGGCATCTCTGAAGCCCTTTCTAGCTCTTAGTTCTCTGGCTTACTACATAAAAGAACGTCTCCAAACCTTAAAGATGCTGAAGTTAAAACAGGCAACTGCAGAGTATTAGACCTCACCAAACAGGATTGAACTGGCAGCAAATCCCTCTGTCTGCTCAGATGGCATTCATGAAATGCCTGCTACATTCAAAGCACTGTTTGAAACTCAAATGTAAAAAGAATTCTCCATGTCTATTGCATTAAAACTCTGATGTTAAGAGAAGGGGTGTGGGGCTGTCACCTCTGCTCTGCCACTGGCCTCCTCTCTCTCTCTCTCTCTCTCTCTCTCTCTCTCTCACACACACACACACTCCCACTTTCTCCTCAGAGAATGAGCTGTCCTCCTCTCTGTGGCTCTTGCCCTTGGCCCTTTGCTGCCCCTGCCCTAACACCTCAGGTCTCCTTCTGCTGTCCCTGCCCTCACCCAGTCCTTCAGCAAATGCCAGCTGCCTCCTCCTCCTGCTCCTCTGGCAACCCACAGTCTCTGGTCACCTTACGTAGCACCCTTGGCTCCCAACCCTGGGTCACTGTCCTGCTCCTCCTAATGCTGCGTGGCTGGCCAGGCTCCTTGTCTGGCCCCCCGGGAAGTTCTTTCTTGACTCTTCGTTGCTGGTCTGGAGCTCACCTTGAATGTTAACTCCTGACTCAGTGTCTCCTGAGCACCACTTCTCCAAGTGAGGGGCTGTGAGACACACCCTCAAGTCCAGAGGGCTGCTCTGCTTCCCGCGTTTTGACTCTCCCAGGAAGACTGGATGGAGACACTGCACTCACCATCCCAGCCTCTCCCCTCCCTGACGGTGCCTCTCTGCCGGCTGTTCAGTGGACTCGTCCCGTCCCTGGGCTCTCCCTGCTCTGCAGCCGGCCTTGGTCCCACCTCCTCTCTGGTCTTCCTTTCAGTCTATCCTGTATTTAGGAAGCTTGGTCACCCCTCTAAATATTCTCCTCCGTTCAAAATGGTTCCTCACTGCCTAACAAAATCCAAACTGCCAGATGCCTTCCAGTTCCTCAATCTGTCCTGAACGTTTTCTGCTCCCACAGAAAACATGACAAATCAAAGCTTCCATGTCTCCCCAAGCCGCCACCTCTTGTTTCTACTGTAACCTCCGTCCTTGACCTAACTCCAGACATGCACACCATGTCTCTGTACCCACTCCACTGCCCAGGGCCTGCCTAGACGCTGGACGCCACCGGACGGCTCTCCCGGGCCTCTGCCCCGCCTGCCTGAGCCAGCAGCAGCTCTGCAGCATGTCCTGCCAGCCAGACTCAGCCTCTGAAGGCCCCTGACTGGATGGGTTTTGTGATGGGCAATCCTCGACTTAGCAAGAGGTCATGTCCCGAAAAATCCAATGTAAGTTGAAAATACCATTAAGTCAAATGCGTGTTTTTGGTATTTTCAGCTTCCCGTGGGTTTATATGGACATATCTGTGGTAGGTCAGGGAGTGGACTCCAGGCGCAATGCCCCATGTAGTTGAAAAATTTTAAGTTGAACCATTGCAAGTTTGTATTTTAGAAAACGTGTCCATGTGTGTTTATCATGTGTAATGTCAGCAAATGACCTCCCTAAAAAGGATACATGCAATACTACCTTTCATGAGGTCTCTTTTTGGCCTAAAGGAAAATGGATCCTGAAACACAGTTTCAGAGGTAAAGAGGGAGACAGACACCGTAAGACCCAGGAGCCTGGCCACCTGGGCTGAACCCCTGCAACCTGAAATGCTGACCTGGGCCCAGCATTGGGCCTGGAACCCACTGTCCTTCCCCCAGGGCCTGTGGGACAACTACCCATGCCTGTCGTAGGGCCTTTGCTTTCAGCCCACACTCAGGTGGAGAGTGGGCCTTAGCCTCCTTCCGAGGAAAGACTGCAACCCAGACCTTCAACCGCATCCCTGGCCTGTGTGAATATCCTGGGATTTTCTTCTCCCAGGCAGTGCTGCAAAGGGCTGACAGATGTTTGGAACCTTCAGGACCAAGGCTGTCCCTGGGCTTTGCTCATGTCCTATGAGGGGCAGCTGACAGGGGCAGGCCACAAAGGCGGAAGACCCTGGTGTTCAAACCGGAAACTCTCACTTGCGGGGCACCTGTCAGAGGAAGACGCAGGTTCAGGGATGTCAGAGAACTTGCCTGAGGCCCCACAGCCCTCCAGGTTGCGGCTCACTACACATCACTCTGGTTCTTTGGGCCACAGCATCCTGAGAGACTGTTCCTGGACGGACATCCTCCTTATCCTCTTTCCTTGAAAGTAATCTAGCTGTGTGCAGCCTCGGCTCCCAGCTGATGTTTGCTGGCCGGACTTGAGTGGGCCGTCCTGTGGGAAGGAGCTGGCGCAACTGCTCCTTCATCCCCAGCTCTGGAGAGCTGTTTTGGTGACTGTCCTTCCTGGGAATCAGCACCTCCTGTTTTGCCAATTCCTTACTCTTTATATAGAAAGCTCCACTCCACCACCTCCTCTGTACATACCCTCTTTCTGGAAATTTCAGTCTTCCCGTGAAAGCTTTGTGCACACTAAGCTGACAGCAGCAACTGGTCCTGGTCTCCAAACACTGCACTGCTAAGCCTGGCTGAGTGTGAGGGCACCGCAGTACATCGAAACCTGCGGACTCCCAGGGCTCGCCCAGACTTCTGGGATCACAGCCCCAGGGGAGGGAAGCCAACAGTCTATGCTGTACCCTGGGTCCCAGAGCTGCTTAGAACTGGGCAGGTTTTGAATGCACTAATGTAAAACGTCAATCTTCACCACTGGAAGGGAGATGGCCCCACCAGAACCACCTGAGAGGCTTTTCACACTGCCTCCCCTGAGACCCAGCCCTTGCTGTGGAGACCCCGCTGCTGCTGAGAGCACTACAACAGGCGGCCTTGGGACCTGGGGTTGAGAACCCTGACTGGAGAGGCCACAGGGCAAGATGTGTGCTTCTTCAGATTCGCCTGGGCCAGGAGGAGACAGAGAGCAAGGACGCCAGGCTTCCATGCACAGGGAGCTCCCTTCCCAAGGCTTCATTGATGGTAGGTGTGGGTGCTGGAGGTCCCCAATGTCAGGTTGAAATCCTGTGCCCCTGCATTCCTGGAGGCCCAGCCACCAGTCCCAGTGCTTCGGGGGAGGTCCCTGTCCCTCCACAGGAAGACTCCTGAGGACAGGCTCCTGTTCCACCACCCTGAGAAGGCCATGGCGCCTTCCCTACCACACAGAGACAAAATTATGTCCGGGCTCCTGAAAGGCGCCCTCAGGAGGCTGTAATATGAGCAGTGCAAATGGAAAAACATCAGTGCTTGGTAATCGCTAAGGCTTGGTGGAAATGGTCCGTGTCTTTTATAAAGAACTGGACACTCTCATGAATAGTAACTACCATTGTGAGGCCTGTTTAGAAAAAGGCATCTCTGCACAAATAATGGATTCAGCTCTTTCCAAATCCCCACCCCATTCTGGGAAGCAGGCTCTTCACAGCATGTACAGAGGCCCCTGGGAAGGCCTGGGTTTCTGTCTCTTCTCTGGCGGCCATCAGGCGGATGGCCTTTGGGGTTCCCTGAGGTCCTGGAGGATTCTGGTTGAGGGGAGGTTCTGGGGCTGCAGTCCAGAGAGAGCTCCGGATCCTCAGCTGTCTAGTAATGTGACCGCTCAGCCACCAGCATTTAGTGAGCAGCTGCTCTGTGCCAGGCCCATGCTAGGCGGTGGCGACACGGAGGAGTAGGGGCGGCTCTGCTCAGTGCTGCTCCTCCTCCTTTTGGGTTTAAGTCACATCTATTTTTATGTCCTGATGATACAAGGAACACGTTTATTGTAGGAAGATCAGAAAAACATAAAATAGTCATCCCAAATATACGTGTCAATCAAAAGAAAACAAAATCACTCATCCCCTTGCCCACGAATAACCAGCTGGAACACAGAACGATCCAAACAGGCTCCTCATCTCTCCTTAGAGAGCTCAGGCCACACGTGTAACTCTTCCTAGAAGAGCGTTTTCTTCTCAGTGTGTGACTAGTGAGAACAAACGAACGGCACTGACACATACCACGAAGGGAGACGTACTGTCATTTACTTCTGGGGAGGAGTTCTTACCTGTCTGTTCGGAACTTTTGAGTGTCAGCTCATATGTTAAATCTAAAAGGGAAATGTTACACATTAATTCTGTTACTGTACATTTTAGAATCTTCATCAGCTTTCAAAAGGCAAAACCGATTCCCATGATTGGCCAGTGAGTCCTGCTCAGACAGAGCAGGGTTTGGCAGCAAGAGAGGCGAGCGTGAGAGCAGCAGAAAATAACAGGGGCTGCTATGCTCCCTGGGGTCAGAGGGCAGCCTCTGTTCCCCCAAACTCTCTTCCCCATTCCCCCATAACATATCCCAACAATCCAAAACAAGCCAGCAGCAGGCTCTATGTATCACACAGGCTACATCTTGATTATTGGTTCCAAAACGTATTGGAAATTCTAACCACTGTATTTTAATCTCTTAAGTCCTCAGCATGCCAAGGAAAGGCTTTGCAGCTTCACGTTCACTGCATCTTGATTATGCAATGAGGGTGGTATAAGGCATTCGGATGGACTCCTGCGATGGCAATGGGAGCTGGGGCAGGGCAGGCCTAGCGTGGTCCTGACGCTGGGCTCTGCCATGCCCCACAGCTGCTCTGCCTTCCCCGGGCCCGCTCCCTGGCATACCTGTGCAGTGCTGCTGCAGCCGCCTGATCTCAGCATGCAGCCCCTTGAGCGTGCTGGCATGCTCCCGCTGAAGGAACAGGAGGTTCTTCTGTGCGCTGTGCAACTGGTTCTCCAGGTTTGTGGCTGCCATGCTGACATCCAGGGACCTGTGGGGAACACAGACCCTGGCTACCGTCCCTGAATGGGGTTCCAGGGCTGCCTGCCCTTCTTGGGTCTGGGTGCCAAGGGGCACACGCCCCTCAGGAGAGAGCAGAAGGAAACCACAGTGTCTGGAAGCTGGGGCACGGGGGCACGAGGGCTAAATTAGCATCACTGCTGGGAGGCCTCAGCCCAGGGATGGCAGCCTCGGCTTCCTGAGTGCCTCAGGGTGTGCCCTTGCACCTAGCACCACATGGGGCACACGAATGAGTGAGGCCCACGCCAGAGTATAAAGTCACTTCCCTTTACTCATGAGGAAACGGATCAAGAGAGGCAGATTCACGAGCCTGGGGTCACACAGCCAGTGAGGTATGGAGCAGGATTCTAACCCAGGGACTCTGGTTCCAAATCCTGTCCTCTCCACACACCACCTCACCCCAACAGACTGTGACTGACCAAGTCACTCTTCAAAGATTTCCCTGACCAGGAAGCACTGACGGCTTCCTCGTGGGAAAAGCTGGCACCTGGGAAATGGGCCAAACATTTCCTCTAAATGGCATCTGGAGCCAGCCAAAGCAAGGAGGGAGAGCTGGGCTGAATTCCAGAGGGAAGCCCCCTGCACTTCACAGAGCAGAGAGGAGCCCACAGGTCCTTCTTGGGAAGGTTCAAGAATGTATCTCATGGGGCCGGAGTTGGCACAGGCATCTGGAGTCTGTCCCCAGTGCTCCCACCCCCGGCTTCCAGCATCCAATGCTCACTCAGGGTCCCAGACTCTGCCTTCATCATAACTCGAGAAATGTGGTGAAGTCATGAGTCTTTCTGGAAGAGCTATCAGAGTAATTCAAGACGCCGGTACAGCACTGACAAATACCAAGGCCAAATGTGGGTTATCTGCTTATAAATTATTACTGTCGATACAGAGCCTCATAAAGCATTTTCCCCAATTCGCTATTCCAGAGAGCCCTCCATAAAGGAGATACAACTCCTCAACAGCTTCCAGGACTCAGCCCATTTGTAGGATGCCACGATGGGACGGTTTTGGAGACACGGACACACCCAGGCTGTCACTGCTTCAGACAACACCAATTGCTCATCAATTCTCTATATGATGGTGACATGCATGCACACTAGCTCTGGGGCTAGGACGAGTTCATAGAGAACTTCAGACATACACTTTCATCACACGAAAACATTTCCCACGTGCTGCTCAGGTGGAAAGCCAAAGCCAAGGGCAACCTGAGAATGCAGAGAAGGAAATAAAACATGAGAGCTCACGAAGGGGAGCGAATGAGGACACATCCTAAACTGGTCCAGGAAAAGGAGGAACAAGAGGCCCTTTCAGTTAGGTACAGAAACTGACGGGAGAACGGTGACCCCAGGACACGGCGAGTGCAGGCTCGGGAGGGGCACCTTGTGGGCAGCAACTGGGCCAAGCTGATCAGAAGCCTTGGAATTGGTCATGTCTCTGAACCAGCAATTTGACTTTAGTAATCTACCAAAGGGAAGTTACGACTTTCGTGTGAAAAGAGGTAGCTGTGAGAATGGTCATTAAAGTACAGTTTGCAGTTGGAAAAGTCTAGAAACAAACTCAGAACGCAACAGGGAGGGGGTTAAACAACTTAAGGCGACCATTTCTAGGCACATTTCTACAAAACAAAGCACAGAGCTCCCTGGCCTTTGACTCCCCTCGCATCGGGGTGCAGATGACAGCAGAGTTGAGTTTCCACCAAGCAGGCTTTCCTCAGTGGAGCTGTGAGCAGCCTTCCAGCAGGAACACAAAAAAATGATGTTTCTGTCCCCGAAACCGTCTCTTTGCCGTAACCGCAAACTCTCCTGTGTAGGCTGCTGAGCCAGACATGAGTTTCTAAGTGGAACCCCACAGTTCCCAAGATCCCAACACTGTCTGCACAGCATGTGGCCTTGGGGGGCGCTGACCTTAACAAAGGAACCAGCTTCGACCGAGGCAGCTTCAGCGTGTGGAGTGCATGTGCCGCGTGCTTGCTGTGGAAAGGGCGAGCACCTTCTGACCTTGCCGTTCCCTCACAAAGCAGAATGCTTGAAAGCAGAACAGCCTAAGCGTCAAAGGAAGGAAAATCCCAGGAGTGCTGTGAGAGCTGTCAGTAGTGGTGCCTACGTTTTTCTTCAACTCAGCAACCCAGAGTCGTTCACTCCGCCATCAATTCCAGCACCTCACTTGGAGGGTGAATCCAGAAGAGCTGAAAAGGGTTTGGAATCGGGAACTCCGGCAGAGGTGCCTGGCCACTACTTTCAAAGGACAGACTCAAATCCAAGATTCTTTCTGTTGGCTGATGGAAGAAGCAGAGCCCATATTTTAGTGGCTTGCTGGCAAAGAGAGAGAACCATTGTCAGTGTGACCCAGAATTGAGTGGGTCTCGGATGACAGGAGGACTGCCCTAGGTAGGACTGTCCTCCCCTCACAAGTGTTGTCCCCAGCTGCACAACCTGGGGGTGGCCTTGACACTGGTATCCCCCACCATCCGTTTCCAGTCCATGGTGGTGTCGCTGGCATCCTGCTTTGAAAGCAGTTCTCAAATCTGTCCAACCATCCTCATCTGAACTGCCAAGGCTGCCTCACCCTCACCCCCACCAGAAAACCTCCGTCCTTCCCTGTCTGCCCCATTCTACTCTCCACGTGGCAGCAGAGTGATTTGGCTTTTTAAATTAAGACTGCTTAAAAACCTCCAATGGTTTCCATTGCTCTAAGAATTGGACTGGTCTGCCTGGCCCTGTGACTGGCCCCACCACCCTCACTGGACCTTCTCCTACCCCTGGGGCTTCTGGTGGCACCAGCTTTCCTCCGGGTGCCCTGCCGGGCTGTGCTTTTCTCACCCTGATGTCCTCTCATGGCCTCCCCTCTTCTCGGGCCTCTCTCCTGCCCACCTCTCCTGGGTCTCAGCTGTCTACTCATCCTTTAGGCCTCAAAACAAGTTTACTTCCTCCCGGAAGCCCTGGCTCCCAGACTCAGCACCTGATGCCTTATGACCCTGTCCCAGTTTTAGTCTTCCTATCTTTGCGAGGGTCTGTAAGCGTGAGTCCACTCCCCGCCTCCTCAAACAGGCTCCAGGCTTGCTCACCGCTGCACCCTAAGCCCCATCATAGTGCCTGGCACCTTGGAGGCCCTCGAATGGGCCCCTGGTGCCAGTCTGATGAGTGCAACTGTGGTGTCAGGAATCCAAGGGCTTCAGGGTTGAAAAGCCTTGTTTCCATGGGCTTCCTACTTAGGTGCTTCATTTATAAGCAAAACTTGCTCAAGAAAAACGGGATATACTAAAATATCCTGAAATGTCACAACCACCTCACCCACCAGGAGGGCAGAAAATGGGATGTGCCTACACGTAGAAGTCCGTATTTTCTTCTATACTGTCCCGGGGGCAGGGGGTGGGGTGGGGGAATGGAGTAAAAATGTTGTCAGCAGGCCAGGCATGGTGGCTCATGCCTGTAATTGCAGCACTTTGGGAGGCTGAGGTGGGCAGATCACAAGGTCAGGAGATAGAGAACATCCTGGCTAACACGGTGAAACCCTGTCTCTACTAAAAATACAAAAAACTAGCCAGGCATGGTGGCAGGCATCGGTAGTCCCAGCTATTTGGGAGGCTGAGGCAGAAGAATTACTTGAACCTGGGAGGTGGAGGTTGCAGTGAGCTGAGATCGTGCCACTTCACTCCAGCCTGGGTGACAGTGAGACTCTGTCTCAAAAAGAAAAAAAAAGTTATCAGCAGCAGTCCCTATCATAGTGTGGTATTACACTTTGTGTAAGAAATTTAAATACGATTTTGGTAAGTATTCCTATTCTAACTGCCTTGGTCAATCAGCAACTTTGAATTCTAACAACCCTGTATTTCATTAATCTACTGTGGTAACTGCAGAAATACAAAGGTGTTCCTGAAGCCTCCCCCTAGGATGGGCAGACAGCCTGGAGAAGAAGAAAGGCCACGTGGGCAAACAAGGGTCTCCTGGCCTGGGCATTTCACTGACTGTCGCTCTCCCCTTCTTCCACACTCTGCACTGACTTAAAAGGCCCTGACAGGGAGAAGCCATCTGTGCAGGGCATTCTACAGTGGTTAGGATATTCCGGAATGAGACAGGTCCACTTGGGGCCAAGGAAACAAAGTGCATCTCCAAATGGCATCCAAATTACTAAATTATTTCCTCATCAGCTCCAAAGAATAACAGTATCACTGACTTTCTGTGGCAACTCAAAAAGAGTTGCCACAGCTTAAAAGACAGTGGTGTTTTCCATTGTGATCCTTCACTACTGAAGAGAGGTAATCACTGTGGTGATGCCATTCTCCCCGTACTGTGACATGACTGAAGCCGCAGAGGCGAGACCCAGCCGGGAGATGCACGTAATTCAGAGGGAGAAATGAGTTGGTCCCAAGAGGTTTAATTCAGTAGAAAGACACTTTAGAAACATGAAGGAGCATTCTTGAGATCCCTAAAAGGGTCAGCATGGCGGATGAAAGGAGAAAGGCAGGGTGTCTGCTGCAGATGAATAATGCAGCTTGCTGAGTAAGGGCACTCACCCCATCTTAGCTGTGTGTCAGCCAGGAATGGACGGCGGCTCATCCAGCCCGTCTTGCAAAACACTTGTACTTTCTGTGTCAAAAGGGCATATGCTACAAACTGTGTGCTCTTCGTACTGCAGTGGTCCATCTTGAGGCAATCCAATTTTGTTTCTAAGCATTGCTGGGAGCCATCAGCAATCTTACCGTTATTTGCTCAACCAAAGGCAGCAAGGACTGGACACTGGTCCTCTTCCCTCCTTGGAGAGGCTGCCCACAGCTGCAGATAATGGGGCTCCAAGTGACTACCACTTCAGGGCCTGGCCACGGCAGCCAGAGGGCCAGCCCCACCCAGGGGACCGTGCACAGCTCTGCTAGTTTTCTCCACTTTGAAGGCCAGAAGAGGCAATGCAAATGGATGCCTTGAGGGTAAAAGACCTGCGGAATACGTTACCTTGATCATGACTCAAAGGTTGAGCCACGCG